ATACTCAAGATGTGATGTTTATTTAATGTGATGAGACCCATTAGCTAGCAGAAGGTGGCAACTGTGAGTTCTGCGTGTCTGCATATGACCTGAAACAGTTAACAATACTGGTATTTAATCATCGTAACCATGATGAGGCAGAAAAAGCCACCCCTCAGCATTTGTTTTCCCTATACCACTTGGCAGATAAGCATATAAGTGCATTTGCTGAAAGTGCTTATGCTTACTGAATCACTAACATTGCTAAGTTCAGCTTGCATCTTTGAGTGCAGAGAGAGACAGAAAGGAAGGAGTAGTTTCTAGAGCGTTTTCTACTAGAAAGCCAATTGGGAAATGCCTGCTTAATTAGGTAGTTATTTGGCCATCAATTCAGTGGCGCCTGAAAAATCTGCTTGCCATTTATCACAAATGAATGTCAGTAAGGCCAAAAACCAAAAAAAAGTGTCTTCATGAACCATGTAAGAAGCAGTAAGGCCAAAAAAAAAAAAGTGTCTTCATGAACCATGTAAGAAAGTCATCGTCACCAGCAACACCCACATGGAGAATATTCCACTCAGCTCTTCTTTGTTTCTTGGCAAGATTTCAAACAAATTCTTCCAGGTCCCTTCGACAAGATCACATGCAAGTCCTGCGAAACGAACTATGGTCCCCACCCAGAAAAGCTGATGAAAAACCAGTTTCTGACAAATTTCACATCATTTCTTCCATAAAAGCACAAGCCTAGGAGGAAGACAAGCAGTTCAAAATTAACTGGTCTTCACATGAAGCACATTTATAATACTCACTAAAAGAAACATTTGGCTCTGTCATTTGTAAGGGCTGTCATCCGGCCTTATCAGCTTGTCCAACCAGTTCTGCTGATCGGGAGAGCAAAAATAGTTTCACTTAATAGCAAACCTCAGCTGTGATGCAACGACGTGTTCATTCTCTCGTGATATTCAGGGTGAGTTTTCTTGTCACCAGTATTCTGTTTTGCACCCTGCCACAATTTTTCTTCTAAACCAGTGATCTGGTAAGACACCATAAGCAAAAGAGATCACCTGCACGATCCCATGCTGAACCAGTGCTCACTGGGCAGGTACTTCTGTTAAGCTGAACCACTGCTCACTGAGCAGATACAGATTAAGCAACCAGTAAGTCAGTGACTGGGCAGCAACATCCCCCAAAAACACTCTTGGATTCTCCAACATCCAAAGCGAATGACAGGAAGGTGCCCATCTTTAGGCTATACATACTTACAGGAGATTGGGAAGTCCAGTTTCAATCCAGGAAAAACAATGACTTGTCTGAGGAGGTTTTTAAAGACTTTATTAGTCTCAGAATCTTATTCCCAGTGTAGAAGCCCCACGACAAACTAAGCTTTGCCATACCAGATGTAAAGAGCCACAGCTCCTCTTGGCTCACTGTCTTTCAATGAATAATGAATCTCTCATGCTGGCAATTCTGTCCATGGCTGGGAAACTTGCAGCTTTGTATTAGGAAAATACAGCAACATGGTTCATTGCACTACTTTGAGCAGCTGATTAATTCAATCTTTGGGTTTTTTTTTAACTTTTGCACATACCTCTTATGTCCACTGATGATACAAAGGCACCAGTCATTCTTGCTCAGAATTTATGACAGTGAGATTGGCAGAGGGTCCTGGCCTAAGTGCCTCTGGGTAGAGTGATGCTCAGCTAGCACAGAACTGCAATATTTGTGCAGTCTGAGGCACTGCAGAGATGGGCTGAGGATAGGAGTGATACCAGAACCAAGCACGTGCATGCAACATTGACTTACCATCTGAAACCTGCACATCTCTTATTTTGCTAAATAAGGTATTTTGGTGCAAGTCTGAGCCATTCTCAAGAAAAAACTGAATGCAAAGTAGCCAGTGACATCCCTGTACATAAGACAAAGTCATTTCTTGCTATTCTTCTGATAATGAGGTAACAGAATAAACCTAAGAGGGGAAAAAACCTCCCACGTTTCTACAAATAAACAATTAAAATAGTCCTAATGCCTCGGAACAGTATTGCTAGATTACCTTTCTGGATGGTCCTTTCTCCAGCTTCTGCAGCAGAAAGAACAGGGTTAAAAACCCAAAACAAATCAGGGGGAAGAACGTGAGAACACCTTGACACAACAAGGACCCTTCAACAGTTCCTGTTCAATTTTCATCTGAGGGGCTGCTACAGGCACAGTAACATTTTTTATAGCTAATCTGTTCTTTTCTCTCAGTAATCTGCATCAAAATGTTGCTTATACTTAGCTCAGTAATAGTTCTGGCCAATGAACACCCAGAAACAGCAAGGACAGTGTAGGAATTCAGCAGTACTGAGGAAAATTCTAATCCTACTAAATTTGGCAGCACAAATCTCTTATGTAAGCTGTGATTTAGAGGACAGTCTGATCATCTGGGAACATTAATGTGTTCTTCTCAGTACATTTAAAAAAATGGCAACTTTCCATTACAGATTTTCTTTTGTTTTTCACTGCACAATGTCTCAGGAAAGGCATTCCAGGCCAACAACACAGTTTTAGGATCAACAAAAATGCTTTTATATGACAATTCAATTACACCAAAGCTGTATATAAGTTTAAAAGTTAACTTAAGTGCTTCTTTGCCAAGATTGCCTTGAACTGTGGTGCATCTCGGAGGTGCAGAGGAGCGCTTGTGATCTAAATTTAAAGCAATGGGTCTCCAAAACAATGCTTGGAAAATAGGCTTTTCTGAAAGTTCACTGTTACATCAGCAAGTTTTACAGATCTCAGAAACTGAACCTCTCACGAGTCTAAGAAAGTTTGTGAGCTACAGATGGAAGATCCCAAGCATGTACAAACCACCAGAACAATCAACCACTGTTTGTATCCACTGTTAAAGAAACAAAACCAAACCTGTCCTCCTTTTCCAACAAAAATAGACTAACATGCAAAAGCAGCTGCCCAGTAATAGGATACAGGTGCATAAAATCTCTAGTCACAAAACAATTATGAACAAAGGGTATTATATAAATCCCTGTTGTTCTTAAATCAATTACAAAATGAGGTAAGAGTTCATCCAGCGCCAATATTTAGCAACAAGAGTTCAATTCGTACCACGTATTCAAGAACTACAGCATCACGCTTTGAAACAGATACTGGCAAGTTTTAGGAACACAAGTTAAGTTTTATTTACACAATAGCAAAAATCAATCTTATAGAACACACCCATAAAGGGTAAAGAGTTCAGAGAGTATCGGAGAATCTGCCACCTGAAACTGTCGCACACACTGCTAAGCCCTTGCTGCAAAACTTGAAGCCAATTATAGATATTTTCTTTTCATCCATGGAAAGGATGTACACTAATCCCTTCATGTGTTTGTAAACAAGTGGCCACCACTACGTGGAGATAACTTTGCAGGCTGCCAGCTATCACCAGCTAGCTAATCCATGTACCTCCATTCAATTGTTACGGTACGTGAAGCTTTTAAAATGAAAAGCAGCAGCACTCCTCTCTTCTTTTGGGGGACCCAGCTCATTCCAGTATCCTGACGAAGCTTCTGAGTAAACATAAAATGCTGAAAAGAATTACCATTTTAGCAACTGCAGGATGTCAACACATTTGGAACAAGGAAACTTTGGTGACAAATGCTCAATAATGGATAGTTAAGGGTGACAGGAAATGTCAGGCAATCCCCTTTAGAGGGCTACTTACAGCACAACCACAGCATGGCAGGAGCTAAGAGCAAAGAGAATAACTATATCCCCAGTATTCTTTATTTTCTCCCACTAACACACAGAGAGAACAGCGATTTTTCAGTCTCCATTAGTCAAGCAGTTGTCTCAGTAATAAGTAGGAGAACAAAAGGAAACCTGAAAGTGAGTATCTCTCCATAGGGAAATTCCCATTGATAGTTCTTCTGTTAAAGTTCAAAGAAACTTGCAAAAGCGTAAGATTGCCAAGGGGAGATTGCTGGGAGGCATAAACACTTAAATAGATCTAGTTAAAACCCCACCATGAATTAAGAGTACCATTCTTTTCCCTTAAAGTGCACGCACAGTGAACACTTGCTACTCTCGGCCACAGAAATTGCTTTCTTATGTAGCAACTAACCAAAGGACAAAAGAAATGCAGAGCCACGCTCAGCCTCTCATGTCCAGAGAGGCTTACTTCAAGTCTTACATCAAACCAATGCTGAAGAGAAGGCAGCCTGCTTTCATCTTTCAAATTTGGCATGTATATAAGCAATGACATCACAGAATTCAAGAGCCAGTTTCAAACCAAGTATTTAAAAGCCAGACTAACTTCGGAAATGATGAGACTGAGACCTGGCATTAGAAATTGATGCTCATTATTTTATTGCCTCAGGCCACCAGATGCTGTATGTAAAGCCTCCTCAGAGGCTAGCAAGGGTATACCTGATCAGTCTTACTGCCAAAGTCAGAGCTGGCAGAGTAACACACTAGATTTCAGTAGTTTAACAATTCGTGATTTAATCAATCCTACTGCAGGCAGAAACATAATTCCAAAGGACAATTGCATTAAAATCTGAAGAGCAATACTTAGAGGGGAGGATGTAATAGTTTGGGGTAAGAGCAGTTATAAATACCTATAGGCACAGAACCAAATGAAGATACTACTTTAATGAGGTGGTACAAGCTCATATTTTATACATCTATAAAATATTACTATCAGGCAAGCAGAAGACTCAGGATACAGCAAAAGAATAAGTGTTAATCTCAAAGATTTGTGTTATGATGGTAACACAGTTTCAACCTATTCACTAGGACCTTCTCATTCACTTTGAACTGTATCAGTTGCTCCAAACCATTACCTTTAGTATCAGTTAACATTAGTGCTAAAACAACAAAAATCAAATACTATGTACATTTCTATGCAAACAATCAGGCTGTCTTTACCTCTCATCTCATTCCAAGTAAATGTATTATCTTCCAGAAAGTAATGTTCACAAATTAGAGAAAAGTTACTGTACAAAGACACAGAAGTTACAAGTTCATAAAAAGACTAATCAACACAATTAGACAGAAGTTTGCTTGTAGTTCTTCGTATCCAAGACCTTCTTGCCACACATTGAGCAGATGCCTATAAGCACACAAAAGCTGTGTAAATTATTTTAAAATCATTAAAGTTTTTCTTCAAAACTGTAGTTGCTGTGTTTTTGTAAAGATAATTTTCAAAAAAATTGTTTCAATGAGCTCTCATTGACAATGTATCTGTGCATTTTCTCACCCCATACTGCAAATTCAGAAGGAATAATATAATTTCTAATACAAATTAGTATTTGCAGCCTATGTGCAATACTGCCACTTAAGAAAAATAAGCTCTATTTGACAGCATTATGATTCACAAAGCTTCCCAAAGCCTCTGTAATTTGCTGGAATTCCGGAAGAGAGCCAGGAAAGGCTCCTATCTGGCAAACAGGTAAAAATGGTGTATTGTTAAACTTTCTAAGTCCTGTAGCCAAACCAAGGCCCGAGATGGACAGAAAGTAAAGAAAATACAGTCAGCAACAAACTGACTATTAAATGGAAGATTAACAGGTGGGCAGCTTCAGACAGTTGAGAACACCATTTCACAGGGTTAAGCTATTTAGAGAGTAGCAGAAGTGAGAAACAATGGACACCGAGAATACTTGAGAGTTGAAGTGAAGATGATCACGGACGTCCCAGAGGACTCTGACCTAAACCCAGAGAGCGGCAAGTCAGAAGACCAGAGCAGCAAAAAGTAC